TGATGCTGTGAAAATGTCATTTAGTTCAACAATGACGTGTTTAGAGGAATCAATTTGTTTTTAGGATTTGTATTATGATCAACATTGAGTTATTGGACACAACCAACATTCTGAACTCTTCTCGCCACATAAAGCGGAAAAGGTTTACATGTACATACAAAGCGGGGGCTCGAAGTGGGCGACACGCCTGCGCAGCGGGCGAATCACCCTCGAAGCGGGCGAGGCGAAGGCTCGTCTGGAATAAAACGGCGACATTCCAAATGTGCTAGTGGATCGGAGCGCACCAGCCATCATTTCGGTACCGGACAGGTGGGGATCTTATCCCGCAGGGTAAATCGCCCGAGCTCATATCAATAAAGCTAGTCCCCTATCCTATTCACGAGCCAACGTTACGCCGAATTTCCTTTTAATTATCGGTTTCTCCTTGCAAACAGGTCTGGTTGACAGAACCAGTTTCTCCAATTTTTCTACAAACGTGGAGGTTTTATGGTTAATTTGGCAGTGATATGTGGCAGGATCCGTTGATAACCTTCTCCGGGTCTCATAACCTAAGCAAGTTGACGTAGTGGCTCCAGGAAGCGTACTCAAGCACGGCTAAGACACCCTAATATGCCGCGAGGGAGTCATGAAACCATATTGAACGATACAGTTCGGGGTCCAATTTACCGAGTTCAACCGGGTGTGTTGGCTGGTAACAGAGCCTGCAGGTCGGGGAGCGAGTGCCGTCTTGCACGGCACACTAGTGAATTTAGGCCGAGAGAAACCGGCAGGCTTTCCACACGACCTGCCAAACACACTGGAAAACCCATCGATCTCACCACAACGTGCCACCGTCGACTAGCCGTGCTGTTATGCTGCCTGCTATGATGGCTGTCATGTTGATAACGTGCCAGGTTTATAGGGACATTCTTTCACTGCCAACCGTACATTGGGTTTTGGCAACTAGAGATACATTACTAAAGAAGGTTTGATGAAAAGACTCCTTTTTGGGGATATCTTATCCGCGCATTATCCGCAAATACGATTCAATTATTTGTCCGTGGTTTATGAAATATTCGCAGTCGCATATCTTGTGAACATTGCATATGAATGAAAACCATTTAAGATTCTTAATTGAGTAGTTATGCACCCTTCACATTCGTCTTTATTCGTCAATTGATTTACGAAAAAAATGTCATTGCATTCATTGATATAATACTGATGCGGCACTACGTGTTGTATGGCTAGGCCTATACTCAAAAAGTTGTTTAACTCGGCTACGTAAGTTCAACTGGCATCCTGCACTCTGAATGTAGGTTGCATTGTTTTTTGGCAAATGTTAATCATTTTCAATTAATGCTCAATATTGCGGTTTTAGACTGTTCGAACATATGTAACAACATGTTTGAGCACCTTCCATTTATTTTAGGGGTAGGCTAATACAAACAAGGACATCACACTTTTGGGACTGTGGCTTCAACCCTAGGGCTATCCTAAATTCCCTCAAAATGCATGGAAGCGGTGACGGGCTTTCTGTACAATAGTTAGCCTGCATGGAACAACCCCAGTCATGCGAGAATACTGGGCTTCTATATATCCCATCCCTTTTCTCTGTTGCCGTTCCGACACATTTGTCTGGTTGTTGTTGTTTTCGGGAATCTATCAGCGCTACTGAGTCCTAATCCCTGTTTATCAAGTTGACGGATTAGCTCAGATGAGAAGAAGCATTTTGAAAAGAAAATCTGGCCTTCTTAAACACTCTCTAGAGAGTCAGGCATGCGATTAAGTCTTCTGCAGTTTGACAGAACGTCCACTACCTATACATGCCTTGCTCATTAATATATGTCTAATTAAATTGCAGTAAAGATTTTGATATGTGCGGCTGTGGTAATAAGTGCTTTATCAATCAAAGAGGCGTCCTGCTTCTTCAACGAAAAATAGAAAAATACCACCAACGATGTTGTATAGTTTGGCTTGTTACTTTACACGTATAGGTATCGTCGATGCCTACTGAAAACGTTAAGCATATTAGAAAAAATAGCCTGCTGTGGTAAGACATATTTTCTTAGCGTTATATCTTTTTCTTGTTTAGTTATAAAACTTAAAAGTTAAGAACTGAATGGTTCGAAAATGAATACTTAGGGTGAGATATAGGAACGTTTTTTGCGTGTCCGTAATCTTTTTTTGTCTGATAAGAAACCAGAGATCTGCTTCCATCCTCACCATTCACACAGTAACAGTCATCGGAAATATGCATATTAGTTGGAATTTGTTTCTACAAGCCGTTAACTTTGAAAAGATGAGTTATCATTTAGAACTGTTTATGGTCGCAAAGATGTCGCAGTGGTAAAGCAATAAATGTTTAAGTATGTCAGGAACTTTTACACATGAGAGGGGAAAATTAACAATTCTAATGGTGCCAATGAATGGGGATGAAAAGCAGTGACTCTGATGACATGAAACCAATGGTGACGATCAAACGATGGCGACGATTAAATATCAAAATATAAGACGATAATTGAAATTAGTGGTGGAGGCAATGGTAATTCTTGATCTTGAAAAGAAGTGTAATGATAAAATATCGATAATGGTAATTGAGAATAGTGCATGGAGGTGAAAGTCGTGACGATGACTATGATGGTGAGGATTTTGATAATTTGATGGTGGTGATGTTTATGATGACATTTATAATGATGACGACCATGACAACACGTCGGAAAAGGATCAAAAGCATTATGAAAAGATCACAAACATGACAAATTTGATGACATGGATACCAAAGATGACCGCGATTGTGATAAAGATGTCTGCGAATGATGTGTCGATAACATGGCTGTGACAATGATGACGACAATGAAGATGACTGAGAATGTTGACTGTAGTCAACAACCAGCTTGAAGAAAGAAACATAATGTGTGTGTGTAAGATGCCAAAATAAGGATGCTGGAGAGTTAAGATAGTAAAATCGATTGAAAGAGTACCCTTTATTTTAATACTGGCTACAAATGTAAATGTGTAGGTTTTCTTGAGTACGACGACAAGTTTTGGTTCTGGTTGCAGGCGACATCATCAGAGCTTTTATCTATTGGGTCATGATCAATAAAACCGACCAGAAACACAGTCACAAATGACTTTGACCTCGAGTTAATGAAATAAACGCTTCAATGACAGAGAAAATGGGGTCAGAGCCCTAATTTCTTTATGAATTGATTGGCTAAATTGCCGACGTAACGACGTGGAAAATAGAGCACACAATCACAACTATTGCTGATAGAGTTAACATGGACTCCCTCAGGACCGTGTATAGACGGATGGATTATGTTAACGGTCATTGTTCAGTTTTTGTTCTGTTACAAAAAGAAGGGAACTGCTGTTTAGGTTCGTATTAGTTATACATGTATATATATATATATTTTTTTTTAAATGGTTTAACTTTTATCTTTCAGCAAATTTCAAAGCCACAAACTACGCGTACAGAACCTTGTTAAAATGGGTAACTGTGTACGTGTTTACAGTGGCGCACCCAGAATTTGGCTTGTGGGGCTCACAATTTTTTTTTCAAAGTTTTTAGAAGTTTGATTTTTTTCAAAAAATGTTGCCAAAATATTTGGCCGCAGAAAAAAAATTGGAGGGAGGGGCAGACTATTTTGACGTTGATGGCGCCATTTACACCCCTATTATACTACTCGAAAATAGGCCACATACATTTTACCACGGTCAAATCGTTGGACTAAAAAGAAATTTACAACATCCTGGGGGGGGGGGCTCAAGACCCATCGTGAATACTATCACGATTTCAATGTGCATTGTTTTCTTCGTATTTTGTGGGCAGCTTTCTGAGAAAATGCGCATTTGATCTATGGAACCGATTCTGGTAAGAAACGTAGTTGTGGTTAATAGGTTGAGGTTCAAAGAGTGTCATTTCGGAGTTACAATATCTAGGCCTATGATAAAATGTACGTGTGAATTGAATGTTACTTTGGTCCAGACTGATGTGTCTGAATTTGATAACATTCATACGTTGTATGATAATACCAAGATATTGCACATCTTTTACAAGTAAGTCGTATGCATGGAAACTCTTCTATAAACGCGTCACGTACTAACGTAAACACTGATCACTCCATTAGAATAGCCACTTTTCTGGTTTTTCCCCAACTTGGAACGTTTTAGGGACGTTCTTTGAAGGCGGATTGAAGTATATCATGTTTAACTAAGGGCATGATATATTTATTTCTAGGAAGAATTTAAGGGGAATTTCCCCCAATACAATTTGTTTTGTATTAATTGTTCATGGCCAGTGGGTTTTTGTATCGATATCCAACTAACACATTATTACGCATCACTAAAACATCCAATGTGAAAGGTATTAGGACAAACAGAATAGCACAACAACATGTAAATCTCGTTAAGGTCTGCTAGATCTTTCATAGTCCACGGCTGCGTTGTAGTTTTCATCGCTCTCAGTACAGCAAGGACTGTGGCAGATGAAATCTGAATACCGAATCCATCGAAAGGAAATCTCAAGGGATTTAAAAACACATGCTGGCTTAGGTTCCAATACCTGTATTCGTTCGGTCAATGCAAAGTGTGATTACTAACAGATTTTCAGTTCGTCTCCAAATCTCCAACATTATCGTGTGATTTCTATCGAACGTTGTTGTATCTTATGAACATGTGTACTTCGGATTATTTTTTCTCTGTGGACAGAGTGTCTCAACAATTACTTTTTGAAAGTGAACTTATTTTGGCAAGTCGTAGTTTTGTTAAAAATGCTTATAACTCACCATAGTCACGTATATTTATTTAAGACTTTTTCGTCTTTCAAAGTAACACGGTATAGCGGAATAGAAAGATAAGTTTCAAAACTGTGTATTTTCGTGTCAAGCAGTTTCCGGTTTAAAATGAGTGGATTTAACTGACGTCACTCTGTGCTGTTCCCAAGAAATATGACAATACAGTCATTAAGACGCTAGTCGAGACCTTCATCTGATTAACATATTAATGATTTGTTTCACCAGAAATATTCATTGTTGGTAACAACATAGTACAGCCGGTATTGAGCGATGACCCAGGTTGAATGGTTTCGATGAGGATTAGAAGGACCTGAGTACGGTTGAATGGAGGAGAATCCCTGTATGAAAAGCTTCAACTTCACCACGAATTGAAGAATTTGGCTTGCGGCTTTGTTGGTTGCGGTCGTGACTTGATTGGAATACGGCCGGGACGCCCGTATTTTGGTAGGTCAGGGTAGACCCCTTTTGTTAAAACCAGACACGCAGGGCACATGGGCTTAGTAACCCAAGGCGGAGCTTAGAATTTCTAAGAGGTCTTTTTCACTCAAGGAACCTGCTTTTTTAACAATGGGAGAGACAATGTCATGCATTAAAATTCAATTAACAAAGTAAATGAAATTGCCCCATGTATGAACTTACCTATATGTTACTCTTCATGTTGATAATCCTATATTTTGAATTCTGATTGCAAAGAGGACGTTAAATCGAAGCAACCCCTTCGTGTGCGTAACAAGCAGATATCCAACCTGAATTATGTGCACGTATCTCTGTCATTTGCCAATTATGCCTTGCCGTGTAGCAGGGTTATGTTTATTCAGATTGTGCAGCCAATTCTTCGTTACAAAATAGTGTTTTTAGTTTATCTTGACATTCACTTAAACGTATAACGTGGACTGGAAGTTCGGTGGCTCCCCATACAGGGCAACAAATCGGATATAGAGAATCATTGCCTAGCCTCATGAAATCAGACGACGGCTATGGACTGAAAAAGGGCAAATGATTTCTAGAACCAGAGAGAATACCTGCCTCTTTCTCAAATCAAGGATATAGGCGAGTTTCATTTTACGGTGAGATACTGGCCTAAAATCGTAAAAGACGAGTTGGACTGGGGTTGAACTTCAGTTTGAAGGTGGGGGGCAGGAAGATTCCGTTTTGTGCTTGTACGTTGCTCGACTAATATTGTCTGTCCGGGACAAACAGCTCTATGGTACACTGACTTATGAGAATTGTGAATAATGTGATGTCTTACGTAGAGTGAACCGTATATGATTGAATATTTTTTTTCGGTCAGAGTGTCTACAATTTGAAACAATGATAGTTCCATTATTTTCCCATTTTGGCCAAGTTCCACTGAGCACGGAAAGCGAATCCGATATGGGATAGTGATCCGGTTCCAGTTTCCGCCGCTATTGGCCCGCCCTCATTCGTGCTCAGAGGGGAAAGGCTCTTCGTCAAAAGCGACCGTTGTTTGGGTGATTTGTTTCAAATGTGCAGCATTCAGACTTATTTCTTTTAGTATTACTTGTCATTTCCTACATAGGCGTAGGCCTAGGATCATTTGCGTTTTGTGCATTTTTTTCGTTTGAAGAAACAAAATTGCTCTTAAGAAGGGTGCATAATTATTAACTTGCTGAAAGTTCAGCTCAATGGATACCATGTACATTTTGAGAAAACAGATAAATATATGCACAGTAATTTTGGGGTCTCGTAACTGGATTCTGTTGCTATCTAAACGCAAGTTAATAAAACTGTGCCGGCGGACACATTTTCTTAAACCATCTTCAATGATTGTTTTCTTCCGAATGATACCATTTCAGGCGGAATAATTTCACATGCTATTTGGTACCAGTCCTATTTTCTCTTTGAGTTGGGATTTCTCGTTAAATTGGTTTATGTACGTTTCCGGGTAATTACCAATGTCCCTACGTGCCTTTAATTGCTCCAGGTAAGGCTTATAGTTCTGGTGTGTTTTCCAATTGGAAAACGTTACGCCCTGTCAGACCTCGGACAAAATTGATGGTATAGGGACAGGCCAACTTCAGCCGTCTTCTGTATTCTTTGCGTTTTATATTCTCATCGATGCATATTTAATTACTGACTGAATAGTTTTAAAACGAGAAGTATAATTAGTTTTAGTTATCTCGTCATATGTTTGGTTCCAAACGCAGGATTTTTTAAAGCAGTGTGCTGGAATTTACGAATACAATAAGTGAGGTCTGCTGGCGACTCCGGCATTCTGATAGTGCACTTGTATATTTGCGAAGAGTCCCAAACGAAATTATCGCCCCATTCACAGCAGAACAATAACGCTGTTCCGCCGCCGTCGTAAATGATGTTTTCGGTGCTGGATAATTGCACTGTCAAATTTCTCCAATCCACGGGTGATAATGAGATTCGACCGCGGACTCAGTATGTAGAAATCGAATTAGGCTTGAGTGCGTGGGTGTCGGGACACTTCAGCCAACCAACTTGGTGGGGTTGGGAGACCCTGGTAGCTAGCTACCGGCACTGTAAGGGTGAATTTTTTCCCCTCTTTTTTGCTTAACAAACAAGAGTGTTCTGACCCTACTTCCAGATCCCCTTTTGTCCCGGAGATAATTAGAAGAACCCATAACAATAGGCGCAAACGACGCTCCAAGACCCTGAAAAGGGGGCTTTGGGATCCCCAAAGCTTGCTTTGTTGCATCGGTCTTTGTGGCCCTTTGGGGGTCCTGGAGTAAAGCTGATTATCGTGGAAGAGTGAAAAATAGAGGGGAGAAATTGCACCCAGTGGGTTGCCTACCGCAAGGTGAATTACCGGCTGCGATCAAAGGAAGTAAGGTGTGTCATCTACGCTATGGTGTGATGGGGGGGGGGGGTCTCGTACTATACCACGTATCCCACCTCACGTTTGTCAGGGGATCAACATTGTACATGTACATATAGGTTTGAAAAAAAAGGGAACTTATGGGTTACGCTTTTCAAAAGGGGTTTGATTTATATAAGAACTTAACTTATTTGAGCCTTATACTCTCTTTTTTTATTGCTATAAAAATATGTACGCAACAATCACTGTCACTTTTTGCTTATATGAACAGACATGATAAATCAACCAACCAACAGTGATATAGGATATTTAAATAAGGTTACGATTGATGTGGAATATTATTTACAAACAAAACGAATAGAGGAGATTGATAAAGCATTGCCAAAAAAATCTTGGGTACTACATGTATTTACGTTACTTTGCAGTTTGTCCGCCCATCGCTCGCACAAGTTCAAACATATGAGAAACTAATAGCCAAACAAAAAAGCTCTTTTGACATAGAATATGTACCTTCTCTCTGCCTTAAAAACACAAACCCACAATAACACTTGCATTTCGCATGTTAAAACAAGTCGCCAAAATGACCTCCGAATATACATAATTTTAGCCAAAACAGGAGTTTGGACAAAAAAATCCACACTTAACTACAATCCATCTCACTGACAAAGCAATCAAAATGAAAGGTCATAATTTGATGCCACATCATAGTTTGTAGAGTGCTGCAGTGAGTGTGCTTGTATAATTTTTTCACTTTTCAGCCATGTCCAATTCTCCGTGGAATTGCCCTAATGTTGTAAGAATGAAGTTGTTTCCATATTTCTTGGTTTCCGAATCATGTAACGTCTCAGAAATCAATAAGACGACTACTGAGACTCATGGGCTTTGCGGGTCGGGGGGGGGCAAGGGCCCCTCCCCCCCCCCTGGAAAACGGGGAAAAAAGAGGGGGGGAGGGGGAAAAGGAAAAAGAGATGCGAAGCCATATTGCTGTTTATTTGATGGGGGAGGGTAAGGCAAATGCTCCCCTGCTCACGCTCGGAAAAATGATAAATTGAGAATATAATGAAAAAGTTAAGAATTTTTTGGGGAAAATTTGTTTCCCCCCCGGAAAAAATCCTGGCGACGCCCATGCTTAGACCATGCATGATTTGTCTAATATGACATCAACACCACAGAACCCCCAGTCAAAGGGCATCAATATTTTGTACAATGCAGAAGTAAGGAGACAGGCGGTTATTTTTGTCAATAATTATACTTGGCACCTTGAACTTTGTTTTAATTATATGTTGATAATCACACACGGACATCAAATCGTATGATACGCCCATAATCAGTCTGCATGATCACTGATTTCGATGTCTCTTCTCTAGACAACCCTCATAAAAAAAAAATTCAACTCAAATGCAAGCACATGCATGTAAAAGTGGAAACGCATGAATAAATGTAACGTACGCCTTCTTAATTGTCGTTTTTTTCCCGAGGTTTCACCCTGTTTAGTTCACCCTTAAAGATGTCCGCTCAAAGTCTACCCTTTTCGAAGACTTCGTTGTTTCATCAACAGAGGGAGCTGTTCCATCATTCATTCTGTAGATGATAACATCACAGTCTACCTTTACCCATTTTCAGGGAATGGATTTTGGCAGGTTCCAGGGGCCCCAGCTAAGTGTCCTCTCTGTACCTATCCCACTGACTGACTGTCACTTGTGACTTCAAACTGTTTGTAGGCTGTTGAGAGAGACCCGGGCAGTGCTTTCATACAGGATTACCACGTAACGCCAATAAATCCGGTCAATTGTGTAGACAACATGCAGGAAAAGACTTTCAAAGAATAGCCTTTCTGGATCAATTGGAAAGAATTACAGACTAGTATGGGACCAGCGGTGCAAGGCTTGCCTTGTCTTGGTCGTTGGTTTGAACAGATGAAGGGGTTCAACATTGTCAAATAATCTATTCCTTCCTCCATGGTTATACACGATCATGGGAATGTTTGTTGTTCGTTGAGATAATCATTGTTTTCAGCACTGTTTATATATTAAGTTGCCGTCTGTTCATCTTGTATTATTAACTGGGAGGGGTGGGTGTTTGAGTTTCGTGTAGATTTTTTTTTGCGAAGTCGTGTGCTTAACGTCTTTAATTGATCTACGTTTTACATGGAAACTGAACCTGGACTTGCTTTAAAACTGTTATGAACCATGGTGAAATTGTTACCATCAAAGTCTTATAAATAATAGATTTAAACAAAGACAACTAATAATAGATATAGTTTGATGAACTGCCTCCAGTAATACCACACATTCTTTTCTTTTTTTGAAACTCAACTCAAATTGTGTGTAGTAGTTTTGTACTTTATTAATATGCTACAAGTTTGTCATGGTCTGTAGAATTTGAAGTGGTTGGTGTTCACGATTAAATATTCACAATAAAATATCAAATATGGGGTGAAGAAATTAATAAATTGTCAGTAAGTTGTTGTACGGTGTGTCTGGCGGAGGTTTACTGTACTGTAAGTACTTCAAATGTACCAGCAATTACATAAACAATGTAATGCTAAATTCAATTATGCAAATCTAATTTGAAGTACACAACCCAACAACATAAGAACGTGTAATTAATTTCCATCATATTGAGAGGTCTGAAATGAATCGAATCTTGTATGGAATAATGAATATCTTGAATAGAATGTAATTGGCGTGAACAAAAGAGATGTTTTCACGGATAAGAGCATAGTCTCAACAGCAGAGTACTCTTTCATTATTAATATTAAGCCAGCCGAAGGCACAGTCTTTATCTCAGAACACGCTACCTCCTATTCTTAAGATTCGATTTGTATGTCTTTTCGTTCCGGGCTGAATACATATACATGTACATTGAATTAGCTTGCTCGAAAAGACTCAATATGGTCCTTTCTTCGCTTTATTTCGCCACCTCAAAAAATCCTTTCAGCCTCAACCCCTCTATGGTTTTTTGACGACAAATGAAGAAAAGTATTTTTTGTATCGGGCGCGCAAAGCCAATAATACCGGGTTTTCTCCGCAAGGTTCTGTGTGCTTGGTTGTGTGAATGCGCTATACACGCTGCGATATTGTATGGGCTAGGGTCAATACGTGGGGATAATTCTCACAAAGCATAGCCATGGCGGGCTTTATTTTCGTTGAATAACTTGCAACGATCGAGTCTTTATTCGTTATTCTCTTTTCAAATCGTGTTTCTTTTCCCTTCGAACTAAAGCATTATTAACCGAACGCTTGTTCCGTAGGCTTCCCAGTGTGGTCGTCAGCCATGGATCTATGCGGACGATACTTCTCGCCTGTACGGTACGAGAGAAATCAAGTTGACCAGCAGGAATTTGAGTGCTGTTTTTGCCGTGTTGGCCTGGGTAGCATTTCATGGGAATGACTGGCTACGGTTTAGGCGGAATGGGGAAGGTTCCTGGTCGGTTTACTAATGAGGGTGTGCCGATGACCTGACGTCACTAGGTGGTTCGCAACAGTCCCTGTACGTGTGTACTGTTTTGTAGCACGTATCGTACTATGAGGTAAGGGGAGACCATTCCAGCGTGCAGTCGCCATTTTATTCGACAAAGTTGCTGTCATTATTCGTGCGCTGAAACTACCCCTGTTTGCATGAAAAACATGCAATATTTCAACGTATTTTCAAACAAAATAGGATTGTTTGCCTCCTTTTGTTACGCATAGTTAAATATCATACGAATTCGTGTTGCTTAGCCTAGTAGGTGGATGATTTATTTGCGCATGCAACTGATACTTTTATGCGTCGCAATATCCTTTTTCATGAAAATGTGTTGTTTTTTTTTATCTTAAGACACGCCTCATTGGTATTTATTTGATTTATACAACGATTTAAGTTGTGAAACAAATCGCGTGGACAGGCTTTTGGGTAATGTGCGTATATGTTTGAATACTTGTTGAGTATTTAGTTCTAATTAGAGTTTGAAACATACACATATCTCATCAAACGAAGCGCTGACAAAAAACTAAGCGTTTAATGTAAAAGAATAATATGGGAAGAATGATTATTCATCTTTGCTTCAGACATTATAACCTCAGACTTTAACTTTTGTCTCTGAACTTACCACACTTATCGAGGGTATAAATGATTACTTGTAGACCTACTCAGGTAAAGTTGAGGAAAGATTCCCATATCTAGCCATCACTTGTCACCCTGTGCACAAACCCTATGGGACTGGTCTGACATTTCTAAGTGTTTTCTTAGTAAAAACTTCAATATTTTCCCAGCTAAATTTTACTTTTTAGGGCATATTATCACTTTCTGATGGCTGTTAGGTCACTGAAGGAAAAAATTAGTGATGGCCAGATATGGGAATCTTTCCAAAGTTGACTGCTACCCCAGACCGACATACATGTGTCACAAGGAAATTCTTTGAGTTGCAAGAGGGATGACGAATATCACTGTTGCGTGTTCATGAGCTGTAAAGTGGTTAGGAATGGTTCAACATTTGTTTTTCTTAGGTTGTACCTTCGTATCTTGTCATTTAAGGTTGTTTATTACGTTCCGTTATGAGCCTATAATAATGTGCTTAGTCTTGAAAACTATGTAAAGAATCCCCGAATAGCTGATATTCCAACCCCAATTCCTAGCAAACAGTTAGAGTGCCACCTACCACGTGAAGTTTGCATCAGATAAATCCCAAACTATTTCAACTTGAAATTGACAAAGAATTGGATCAACGAATTTCAAGATATTTAATATTGAAAATGATTTCTCGTAAAATTACACTGAAGAGGCAACATGTGTTTCGAATGACAGATGTAACTCTTCTGTAATGGTCTAATGATGTGACTTTAAAGAGTGGTATTATTGAAACGATTTTTTATTTTTATTTCTATCAAGTTTTCAAGAGTTACGTACAACACTGTGACGGTTTTAGCAATTTTTTTGTGTTCAGATTTTCAGAGAGAACTATAAGTATGGTTTATTCTGGTATATTGACGACTTCTTAGTATTTACAATAAGTTTACAGTAACTGCATGTGAATAATATGTGAGAAGTGTTTTAGAACACACTTTTGCTGTTTGTTCAGTAAATTCTTCTTGTTGGGGTGTTATTTTTATCCTTATTAATGTAGGTTAGATGTTTATGTTTCAGTAATGGTGATGCATTTACAAATTGAAAAGTTCATGGAAAGCTAAGATCGTACTTGTTTTCCTCAATTTTGTATTTGGGCTATATTGGCGGTTCGAACCACCTTTCAATGCGCTCACTAAAACTTCGTCATAAAATCAACATCAGGTTGTAGCAATATTGAATCACTTGACAAATACGGTTCAGTATGGAACACAAATGGTGATAGTTTTTGCACAGTATCGTCAATAAGTCTCTTACAAAACAGTTCGGGAGCGTGTCATGTGCTGGATATTCGGTTGAGTAAGTGTACACTTTTTTTCCTTACAGATGAATTTGAGGGAAACAACATGTCGTCTTAGGACGAGTTCGACTGCCTCATCATTCATGAAATCAAGGTAATGTTTTTCAGATTCTATCATTTCAGATTCTATGGGAGTACATGTGAAATCGATTACGAAATTGTATTATGTTAAATTCTGGCAATTAGCCTGATGTTAAATGATCCCATGCAATGAGAGGTTTTGCTTTCGGTTTGTTATTGTAGCGATTGAATTAGACCATAGTAAGTTCAGTATAATACCTCTGTTCATAGGTCTATTTTGCCTTACACAGCCGGATCCCCAAAAAGCAGCCTTTCAAATATGTGTTTGTTGTATTAAATCCAAACAAAATCATGTTGTTGCATAAACTCTTCTTGAAAATCTTTTGTTTCATATACCCGGTAAGTCAATAAAATGGTATTTCGATTGGTATTTCGTGCACCAGTGTGAAAAGACCGTTTTAAAATGACTATTGTTAAAAATGAAATAAATATTTGACGGGTGGTTTTAGTCTGAATCTGATATCCAAGGGTGATTGGAATCTTGGTGTGGGGTTTGAATATGGAGATAGACGTCAAGTCAATCCTTCGTGTTATCAATTAAAATAGTGTGCCTACAAAATGAGCCAGCGAGGATGACGCTAGTAAGCCTAATCATTGCAGGCCTTGGGTTGGATCATAATATCTCCCAGGGGTTTGCCCATAGCGACATCAGCACAACGTAGTGCTACTAACAACACTACAACAGACCTGCCATGAATAATCGTAATGAAATTGAGGTAATCGAAAACCCAGGAGACGACGTATGGTGGACGTGTAAATGTACTTATTTGTTGCTCATTTACAGATGATGAAGGCAAATTAATATGCAGGGGCTTTCTCCTATGTGATAGTCACTGTCTTGCTTTCATTCAGACGGTTGGTTCCTTGACATCATTACATGCTATTGGTGTTTGACAAGTCAATAAAGGATCATCACAATATTACTTTCTTCAGCTGTCCATCATCCAAATAAAAACACTTTTTGTCCGGTCTTCGCTCTATAAGTTGTACACATTTTAAAAATGTTTCAACGGAAAATACCACTTATGTTATTGTACCTATCTTTCACTTATGTTTCAACAAAAGCATTTATAATGGTATTGGTATACAATAGCACACCAAAATTAGGTTTTGTAAATGACAGTGCGAAGTTTCAAAAGCAAATGGAAGGGAAATAGGAAGAATCACAGTCAGCACCGAATGGACGAACAATGTTCATTATTGTTTGAACGATTTCCAACATAATTTCATAGTAAATCTAGCAATCGAAATTGTTGCCATACAGGTTGATTAAAAAAAAGAAACCAAATGGCAGGACCAATTTGTTAATGAATTTCGGATGTAGCACTATCAAAATCTAGGATATGAAAGTCCAATTACTAAGCTTTCTTCTAGTACATCAATCATTCAAATCACTCATGTGCTTTTCAAAGTATGGAATTTTAAACACAACCACCGTTTTAAAGTTTTGTCCACGGATCACAAACAGGCATTTAGTGTTCTTTCAGCAAAACGAAAACAATTCACATGTGCATGTGCTTCATGCAGAACTTTATTAAGAAAATGGTCATGCCATTTGGGTTTCCTTTTTATTTTTACTCACCCTGTATACTGAAGTACAAGCTGCATGAAACTGTAACTATTATACCTGTCATCGGACAAACCGGATACTTGGTACGGGTATAAGGGTACAATAGACGATGTGGCTTGACACAGTCAGCCGGCCGTACTCATGCACACACGAACCCCGTCCGCTCCTGCCTTTAACGATGTAAGCATCTCTTCCGTGCGTTAAGTCACTTCCAATTTTTTTTCCGTTGAAATGAAACATTTAAATGTCAAAAATTCGTAAGAAAAAATATCAAATTTGTTAAAGAGCATGGACAAAGAGACTAAACAATCACTTTCTACATTCATGATTCATTGTGTCATTTACACACTCTTTAAATGCAGTCAGTTAAAACTTTACTTATAAGGTAATTGTTTATGCATTCATGAAAAGATCATGACACAATTTACATGCATCATACCATGGTTAACGAATTGGATATGAAGGGTTGGCAAACAGTGGCATTGGAGCTGAGTTTTAACAAATCGACCTTTTCGTGATGGACTCTTTTAAACTAAACTTGATAGTTCTGTTAGAACACACGATATCTAATCATGAAAACAATCTTTTGACGGTGAATATTATTAAAAGTGGATAGCCAAAACAAAACCAGAGCCATATTACAACCCCACCCGGCCAAACCCTAGCTACGGCCCTGATGTCAGAGTAATGAAGTTGTGAAAAGTTGTTTCAGAATTCCAACATTCTAAGTAATAATCTTTAGAAGATAACAAGCAAAAATAGATAAGCAAAATAGCCAGAAATGTCTGACGTATAGTATAGCTGCTTCGGGTTATGTTTGTGTTATCAGAAAACTTTGATGTATTCTAAATGTGTAATTGAACGCGGAGCACATGTGACTCACCACATGAGGCTAGCAGCTACCCCTTGCTCTCTTTTTGAGTCGATACGTTGCCTTTTGGGGCAACAAGAATGATTCCAACCTCTGATAATACACTGCAGTATTACAGTGTCTTTATTCCATCAGATGTCTGCTATCTTTCATAAGACACCACATCCACGCACTACATCCCTGCACCTTTTAGCCCGCTGTCTCCTTTTTGAGGTGGGCGAAGGGGATAAACCCAAAAATGGAATAACCGGGAAATGAAATTGTGTCGGCAGACTTCAAACCCCGGTCCCCGCCGGGTATTGCCAGGTATTGATCGGCAGCCGAGTTTGCTTAAGGTTTATCGACTGTCGGTGGGAAGACTCAATGCATCGCTAGACGGGGGGAAACTGGGGTCGCTTGGCCCGTAAGCGGGATGCACTACGCTCGGTAACGGACTCAAACGGCCGATTGAATAGGGAATGAAGCCTGTCTGGGGCAAAGATGTTACGTTGTTTGACAACTGATCTTGACCGGAGGTGGTTATGATTTCACGATGAATTCATTAAAAATAAAAACAATACCAGGCCATAAGGGCCAGCACGCACATCACGCAATAGACCAACAAACTCAGATTTGTGTTCGCATCCTGTACATATACAAGTATGTACGATCATAACGACCAACATCTATCACAAAAAAACGTAGGCCTATTCGACTTACCTTCGTACAAAATTCAAATTGATAAAAGCGTGTTAACTTACAATATACATTGTAATTCAAAACGGGTATTTGAATATAATTTGTTCAGTTGTACAACAACATTGGGGCTACATTATATCCAAAATGTCCCTGCCTCTACCCTCGTCATTTTGTGATTATCTCTTCCGTCAACACTTAGATGTGCATAAGGCGATTTCTTGCCAAAATACTAGTCGAAAAGCTGATACTTTGCTACAGGACTGCATTGTTTAACATTGGTGATGATAGGTTTGAACCAAGCAATGAAATTTGATATGTGCCATTTGACAGCTTGAACGTATGAGGAAGTTTGTGACGTAAACTAAAACAGGAAATTGTTTCGTATTTATGTCACGTTCCAAATATCCCACATTTTCCCTAATTTAATCTCTTCTTTGTGGCCCACATATGTGCCTCGCTTATTATACACATTTTGTACCTGAGGTCATTAGTTGGCAATATTGAACGATACCACACGTTAAAAAACCTTCAGTATTTTAATTTAATTTCTGCAATGTAAGGAGTATATCCGTAGGTTAATAAGCATAAGAAACATGGTATCCACATGTAGTTTGGGGCTGGACACCATCTGACCCTCGGGGCGCTGTCTGTGATTACAACACTCGTACGTCAAGTACGTAGACTATACCGTAATGCTGAACCACCTCCTCCGTTGGAGTTATCTCTCTATTTTGGACGTTATTGCTAAACAATGCACGTTCGCGTTTGACAACGTTCTGCATTGAGTGAAAACAACTCCTACTGTCGTTCAGATAGACAAGCATAAAAGTGTTACACAGAAGGCATTTAAATTACTAAAGCGATGATGACAAGTAACGCATTATATACGAGACACTACCAAACTAGACCACTATTTCATTCTCTCGCATGAACTTTTCGGCAAACAAGTTTCATTGACCTCGGGCCAGCGTACTTCACGAACAAAAGGTTTTATTTTTCGCCGCAGGATAAAAAGAAATGAGCTGATTTTACCCTGAGCTGCAAGCATGTAGACTTCCCCGTGGTGTGTGTGTGTGATTTGTAAGGCTTCTGCCTCCCTGCACAAGCACTTTATTCCTCTTGGATGGTACCCAGGAGAATTTAGTTTCAATCCAAGCTGGTTCAGGCGCATTTTGTACGGGTCACTCGCCCTACTGGCGTTAATACTAACTCCCATCAACCCGATCCGAGGGCGATACACAGAACCAGGAAGGCTAACAAAGTTGTTTATCCACCCATTCAGGGGTGTTTTTCTTGCTAAAATTCACAAGGGGAACTCAACTGAACGACCATGCACTGACCCTCGCTGACGTTGGTTATCGAAAAACATAAATCCAGTTAGAATTTTGCATTTCGTGCCAATTTCCATAATCACTACTAAAACAGTGTTGCAGCTGCTTGAGCTCTTTTTTTTTTAATTTGCTGTTGCCAATATAGGGTTTTCTGTAAAGCCGATCATTAGCCTACTACATCAGTTGAGATATTTTTTAGACCCAAAAAGTGTGAAAATTTGCTGGACAACTATTAGTCACCTTGGCAAGTTTATGACTTGAATGAGAGCGACTACCTTGACAAACACAGTGAAACAGAAATAGGCCTTTGAAAATGTAGACCCTAATCCATTCATTAGCGAGTATTCTATGGGGATTTCTTCTTCGGTTTTGTCGTATTGTCCTCAAAGCCTTGAAAAGCGAGTAGGATAGAAGAGTAGATTCCATTGACGCACAGTATCCTGTTATGTAGCCCTCAACGGAGGGAGCAGTGTAGGAAATACATAGCGAAGTCTACGTCTGTGATTTGTTACCGTAGATTTTCGGACAATTTGTTCCTTTTTTAAGAGGACCAAACAATAGTC